ACAATGAACATTATGTATAATGATTTATTTTTACAGATTAAATTCATGAATTTATTTTACAATGAACCATTTAACAAAATATATATTACAATGAATCATATACATACATTGTACTTTATGTATAAAACATTTATTTTTAATATGAATTCAATAAATATGATACATAATTTAGGAAGATACAATGATTATGATGTATTCATTGTACTTTATGTATAATAAATTTATTTTTTATGTGAATTCAATAAATATGATACATAAATTAGTAAGATACAATGATTTTGATGTAATCAAAATTACCCTTTATTAAATTTTGAAACACTTTTTAAATTAATAAATATTAATTTATCGATTAAATAATACTTCTACCAAGGTGTTAATATTGAAAAAAATATAATGGGGAATAAATATAACTAATCTTTTTCCGTAAAATATATTTTCAACTTTTCTTCAAGCTTTCTCCAACTCTAGCATAGATATTCTTCCCCTTCTATTTCAATTGAATCTTCAGAAGTGGGTCAAAGATACTTCTAACTTATTAAATTTGATTTTGAAAATACCCTTCTATATATTGAATTATAAATGCTCTTAACATTATTTTTGGCTAAAAATATCCTAACATATTGAATTTTGCTTTAAAATATCTTTTTTCACCTATTAGTCAAAAAGCGTCCTCAACCTTTTTTTTTTTTGGCTTTAAAATATCCCTAAGCTAATGTTGACTAATTGACTGAATGAAACTTTGTAAAAATGACTCTCGACTTTGAGTTACCTGGAATAAGAGGGAGTTACTCGGATGATAAATACTCGTTATTTTTATTTAAAATTGTGAATTTAAGTCAATAAAATAGCAAAAAGGTGAGAGCAGCTAAAGAGGGGTAAAAAAAAGCTAGAAAACTTGTTTGAATTAAAAGATATGGGAACATGATAAAACTCAATTGTACTAAAAGATTACTTGATTAATGTGAATACAAATTCTATTTTATTTTCAGAGATTCTTTTCTCTCTTTAAACTCATACAACCAAAACTTGTTAGAATGAAAATGAGCTTGAGACATTTTATTCATGTCAAATAAAATTAATTATTTGTGCATAAATTCTTTTGAAGTATGTCAAGTTATACATAGCCAAGTTGGGATCAAAGAGCTAAAATCTGATTATAAAATTGTTTCTTCATTTAAGAACAAGAGACAAACCAAAATACTTGTTGAAGGAATATATGAGGAAGAAGACATTTATCCGTTTGGGGGTTAGAATTATTTATTCGGATTTAATATTACAGGAAAAATTACATAAATACACATCTTAGTTTATTACAATCTCTAAAATTTCTTACTATTTAAAAAAAATACAAAAATTCACTCTCAGATATATCATTATCCCCTCTCAGATACATCACTTCCCTCTCAGATTCATCTCTGTATCATTCGTAATCCGTGAGTTATGTATCCACAAGTTTCCTGATGCATCCGAGATCCTATAAATTAAAAGAATTTTTGTAATTTTAAAAAAGAATACAATAAAATATAATTATCTCTTAATACTATAAAATTGTATATATATTTTAACATAATTATACGAGTGAGTCAAATCCAATCCTGTATTCGGAAAAAAGATTGTACACGTGGCAGAATAATTGGTGGTCATGTGACACCAACAGAGGATGCTCAAGGAAATCGTTTCAATAGAATGGTTGGTCTTGAAGATGTGGGTGAAGATCAAACTTAATTAGTCTTTGAATTCACAAAATGATCGTTATTGAGAAAAAGGCAGAAATCCGTGACATGAAGATAGGGAAGGACTCGTATCTCAATGACGTGATAAAAATGTAAAAGGTTAGATAAATTAGATATATTCGTACAATATCATGTTTGCAATATTGAAATATTTATTGACACTACTAACAATTTTTTCACGTGTATGATAGCTATTAATTATAGTATTTAGTGTCCGGGTGAAGTTTTTCTATTGATTGATGTATAATGTATTACCTTTATAACTTACAAATATAAATAGTAGTTTTAACAAAGTTGTAAAGGAGGAGATATTGCACGATACAAAAGAAATATAATTTTATTTGTTTGCTCCAAGTTTTTTATATTGCACTAAGTAGATGAAATTGGACATGTGATTTTATCTCATGATTTCAAATTATGAGATAAATTTTAAATTCTTCAAAAAGTTTGATTTGAGAATTTCATATCATGATTTCACATTTTTCAAATACAAAAATTGATCACAAGTTTATATTTTGTAAAAAAAAAAACACCATTTTATATGGACCAATCTTTTATTTATATTTATAGTTCATATAATTACTCTTACCAACTTTTACACCATTTATATCAAGAAATGCATGCCTAATGTGAGGAAATTATTTGTACTATATAGGAGGATTATATTAAAGAGCAGTACACTATAAGTCATGTTCATTTGTTCATTTTCTCTTTTTATTGAACTAAAATTCGATCAATAAATGTTGTGTATTTTTGTAGAATAATTTTGTGATAGTTTAATATATCATAAAACCTCACTAAAATAATATAGCGAGACCATGAAATATTATTATTATGTAGATGTATTCATTTAATTGCTAAATTAATATTTATTAATTTAAAGAATGTTTTGAGATTCAATGAAGGTTGATTTTGATTACATCAAAATCATTGTATCTTATTAATTTATGCATTATATTTATTGAATTCACATAAAAAAGAATAAATTTATTATACATAAAATACAATAAAAACATCAAAATCATTGTATCTTATTAAATCATGTATCATATTTATTAAATTCATCTAAAAAATAAATTAATTATACATAAAGTACAATTTTTGTGTATGATTCATTGTAATATAATTTTTTGTTAAATAATTCATTGTAAAAGTAAATTCATTATACATAATGTTTCATTTTTTCTTAATAATCAAATATTATTCATTGTATCTTTACTAAAAATATTCAATATATGATACTGAGAAAATAAACAATATAAGCAACATAGAAAATTTCTTGAAACCATATCCGAAAAATGGTATTATTTTTTCAATTTCAAAATGTAAGATAATTTCTTTCTCAATTGTTTGTATGTAATTTGGAGCATTATAATATCACTGTCAATTTTCAACACCAACTATCTTTAAGACCACCCACCACCCTTATTCACCACGGATACTGCACGACTAGTGCACAACTCTTCAAAATTCATGATCGTTATCAATAACTGCCCACTATCATCATCACTGATCATCGTAATAAGACAATTCTTCTTTTGACTATACCTCTTAGGTAATAGTCCCGACCAACAAAATTTTGAAACAAAACAACAACAAAAAAATTGTTTTAAATAGTTAACATAATATTGTTAGGCACGTGCACAACATGTGCTATCCTTTACTAGCTTGCATATACATGGAAAAGTTTTGCATATACATTTTGGTAGCATCACGACCTTTTATTCTTTGTTATTATAATATACTAGTATAGGTACTCGTGCGTTGCATGAATATTATAAGATATAATGATTTTTAAAATTTAAAAGTAACTAAATACAAATTATTATTGAGTGACAAAAGTACATGTATAATCATATATAATGTTTTAATATACATATAAAAATAATGCTAATAAAATTTAACCCTAATTTACGTGTAATGGGAGTATATTCTTCAAAGACACTAAACAATGTTCTACAACTTCTCCTTTTTCTAGTATAAAAATGAAGATTAATAGCATATGTGGCGTGTGTTGAATTGATATTTGTGCTAATTAATTAAATTTTATGTTCATAGATCAATCTAAAACCTAGTATTAAAAATATTAACTCTACTTTTAGCTAAAAATCTAAATATAATTTACAAAGCATGTTGCAACCTTTTTAGCACACTCTTCTCTTGTTCTATCCTACAAAGTAAGATGATTTTCATTTAATCAGATATAATATCATTAAATAAAGATGTACAAAATAATGAATTTTCGTGATATATTAAAAAAAGATACTATAATTAAATTATTATATACCACATAAAAATAAATTATATTTAAAAAGTACCATAAAATCAACAATGATCGATCAAATATGTAAAGCATGATGTGAGTACAAAAGAGATCATTCCACATACACTCAAAAAGATTTGCAATCTTGGCAACACCAAAGCTTTTAGACCCAATAAGAAAAGTTAGGGATGAGCTTCAACTCGATTTAAATTTTAACAAAAAATAAAATACAATATAATTATATTTCACTAAATTTTCTTAGATATATTTATACTTTTAAAGAATTATTGATTTATAATATTAATAGGACTATATATATATATATATATATATATATATATATATATATATGGTCTTCTGAACATTTATTGTCTTATCGAAATGAGTGATTATTTTCATTAATCCAAGTCAGAATCGAATATCAATTTAGAGAGGATTTTTACTATACTTTTGATATGAACTTTTGTTTATTTGGTAGGATTATATAAAGAATTTAAATAATTTTAATAGTTTTCACAACTCATAAAATTTTTATATTTATAAATAAAAAATACTACTTAAAATATATTTTTATCTCATTTCATAACATGATTTCATCTGAGGTCCAACAAGTCCTAATTAAAAGCCACAAAGCGAAATTGATAATACTAAGAAAAAATTGATACAATAATAATAATAATAATAATAATAATAATAATAAAAGAGATATGTTAAGGAAAGTTCGTTGTTAGTGTCCGAATTTCCCAACGTGGCTAAGTTTATGCGTTTTTATTCCCTTACATCCCCAACCGCGTGACCTTTTTTTATTAAATAAACTTCACATTAGCTTCTATTTTATCCGTTTTCCATCAAACTCACTCAATAGTCACCGTCAAACCCCAAACCCCACCCCCCACTCCTATACCCAGAAACTACCATAACAACGCGTCCCTTCACACGTTTCCTTTTACTCATGACCGTGTCTCCAACATATATATATATTTCTCATCTCTACTTCCATTCTATCCAAATTCATTCATTCATTCTCTCTTCATATTTTTGAGTTCCAATTTCAATATTTTGTTTAATGGAAATTTCTTCTTTCCTATTTCCCAATCAGGAAGATTATCCTTCTCCTAATTTCTTCAGTTTTTTTCAAGATTTTGACTTCCCTGCTACTACTGATACTACTGCTGCTGCTGCTGCTCCGATTGCTGCTGAACCGCTTCCTAAGAAGCGAAGAGTTGATGATTTTGATTTTGATTTGGAACAAGTTGTTGAACAGGGCTCTTTGAAGAGTGTTGAGGATATTTTGAACAAATTTTTGGGATTCGATAAGGAAGAAGACAAAACGGAGCTTAAATTGGATTGGTCATCTCAGGAGCAATTTGCAAATCAATCTGTTTTTGACTTTTCGAATCAACAATCCGGGTTAATAATGAATGAGAAAGTGAAGCCAATGGCGGGTACTAATAACAAAAGGTCTCGTCAGAATTCTGCTGAATTCATTTCAACTTCGGAGGAGGAATCTCAGCCTCAACAGCAAAGGAGGTTATGGGTGAAAGACAGGTCTAAAGCGTGGTGGGAGCAGTGTAATAGCCCTGATTTTCCAGAAGAGGAGTTTAAGAAAGCGTTTAGGATGACCAGAGCAACTTTTGATATGATCTGTGAAGAATTGGAATCTGTAGTCACTAAAAAGGACACAATGCTTCGTCAAGCGATTCCAGTTCGCCAACGTGTTGCTGTCTGCATTTGGAGATTGGCTACAGGGGAGCCACTTCGTGAAGTTTCAAAGCGTTTTGGCCTAGGCATATCTACTTGTCATAAGCTTGTTCTAGAGGTTTGCACCGCGATTAAAGGCGTTCTGATGCCGAAATTCGTGCAATGGCCTAATGATGATTACAAGATGAACGAGATCAAACATGAATTCCAGATGTTATCCGGGATGCCAAATGTAGGTGGATCTATTTACACAACACATGTTCCAATAATTGCCCCAAAAGTAAGTGTAGCTGCTTATTTCAACAAAAGGCATACAGAGAGGAATCAGAAAACTTCATACTCCGTTACAGTTCAAGGTGTTGTTGATCCAAAAGGGGTTTTCACAGATGTTTGTATTGGTTGGCCTGGTTCGATGTCTGATGACAAAGTATTGGAAAAATCAGCTTTGTATCAGAGAGCAAACAGGGGACAGCTGAAGGATACTTGGGTTGTAGGAAATTCAGGATATCCATTAATGGATTGGGTATTAGCTCCTTACACACGCCAAAATCTTACTTGGACTCAACATGCTTTCAATGAAAAAGTAGGGGAAGTCCAGAAGGTTGCTAAAGAGGCGTTTATGCGAATGAAAGCAAGGTGGGGCTGCTTACGAAAGAGAACAGAAGTGAAGCTTCAAGATTTGCCTGTGGTTTTGGGGGCTTGCTGTGTATTGCATAATATTTGCGAGATGAGAGGTGAACAACTGAATCCAGAACTCAGATTTGATCTTTTCGATGATGAAATGGTTCCAGAAAATATAGTGAGGTCAATGAATGCTGTGCAAGCTAGGGATCAGATTGCTCACCAACTCTTGCATCAAAATCATGCAGGCACCAATTTCCTTTAACAAACAATTGTATGTTCTAATTTTCTCTATAAGATAGTATAGGGAGCAGGGAGTGATTTTATTTCCATGACCATATGATGTCATGTTATAGAATAATAGTTAAGCACAATACAAAAATTTTTGGATATCAAATGGAAACTTCCATTGTTGTTACATAATCATTTATGTTTTTGCTTCTTATGTTCATATATAATTCCGAACCATAGAGAAACTCTAGAGTTTAGTACAAGTGAAACTGGAGAGGATTTGTGCGGTTCAGGCTTTACTCTAATTTGATAGTTAACATTTTTTCGGAGCTTTTTTTTTAACACAATCCATAACCTTTGCATAGCGTCTGTGCTGAGGGTGAGCATTCTATGGTGAGTATTTTGTGATAATCTGCACTCTATGACATAACTCGCAGATTACACAGAAAATGTAAACTGCACTAAGCAAGCCTCATACGATAAGTTCATGATTGAATAGCACATGGAGGCTGAATTCGATCCAACTCAGAGATCCACGTGGACAATATTTTTGTTAGTGAACTTTTAGACCCTAATAACAGTCAATCACATCACTAATTCATGTAGATTGTAGATAGGATAGTGAATACTAGCTTCACAGGAAGGCAATAGTCTTAACAAAAGCATTTTCAATTGACCATCAAGATACATCAGACTAGTGTGACCCTAAAGTTTCATTTCCGATTTCATCCGCGTGGATTTTTTTTTTCTTTTGTTAACAAGTTATTAAACACTATTTTCTTTGATAATTAAATTTTAATTGTATTTAGACAAAGAATCTTTTAAATTTTTAAAATAAAATCTACATATTTAGAAGCTACTATAAATTACAATAGTTCATAACTCAAAAGACATGCAAAAATGTTGTAGAATAAATTTCTTAACTCCCAAAATTCAAGCATAATGACATAAATTGGGACAAAAAATAATAATAAGAGTACTAGATTTTTGTAATAAAAAAGTCACACTTATTACTGCGTTTTCCTTTATTTTTTGCTACTGAATTTGTGTTACCTGCTCGAGCAAAATTGAATATCTCATTACAAACAAAGTTAATTTATAAATTTTTTGTTGTATTTACATAGAGTTAACTTTTTTTTGTTACAAAATATAATGTAGTGACATGCTAAATAAAATTAAAACAGTGTCTATATAAAGTATAGTTCTTAACAAAGTTCTTAATTGACTTTAAAAAGAGAAGTATAAGATGCTCCTTATATCCCTATTTTGGCGGGCTAAATAAAATTAAAACAGTGTCCATATAAAGTATAACGTTCTTAATAGAGTTCTTAATTGGTTTTAAAAAGAGAAGTATAAGATGCTCCTTATATCCCTATTTATTTGTCAAATATTTTTAAATTTGATTTATCTTTTTATTTGTTATTTTTGTCAAGTAAAAAAAAGACAATTTTTTTATTATCATAGCGGCTTAAGTTAATTAGTGGCTTAAAGCCAAAAATAAATCAGAGTCCTAGCTTTTATTTTTTTATTTTTGAAATCCAAGGTTATTTCTTCTTGTTAATGATTTTTTTTTCCTATCGTCTTAAACTAAAAATATATATCAAAATATTTTTTAATCTTGTGGTCTTAAACATATCATATGGAAGTTAAATTTAAAAATTGACAGAAAAGAAAGAAACATTTTTTAATGTTTTGAAATGAACTAAAAGAAAGATATAATATAATTTATTTATTTTATTAAAAAATACTTATAACATTCTATTATTACCAGAAAAAAACGGGGGCCCTCAAATTTGGAGGCTTAAAACGGATGCCTCATTTTTAAAGATATTGAGCCGCCCATGCCTATTATGTCCTCAATTTATTAATGTGGTGAGTAAATATATTTAGGACCCTATAAATAATCGAGACAAAATGATAAATTCATGCCTAATTTTTAAAGCATTGAACCGCCCTGCCTATTATTTCCTCAATTTATAATGTAGTGAGTAAATATGACCCTATCAATTAATCAAGATAAAATAATAGATTTACTATATCAATCATTATTTTCTGAGACTAGAAAGTAATTGTGAAACAAGAGGTATGCCATGTTGGACTAAAATAGCATAATAGGGACCACCGTTGGGTTCACAACTTGGCCGGTTGGCGCTGTTACTGAAATAACAAAGGCAAGCATTTAGGTTGACTCACTTTAGATTAACGTTACTATTTTTAGAATAAGTCAGGATGACAACAGCAACCAACAATATGTTGACTGCAAACAATCTTGTTGAATATACTCTATGCAATGGTATTTAATTCAATTAAGGTGTAAAAAAAATAAGTTCAGCTAATTTTTTTTAAAAAGTTTCATGTCTAAATTATTATGAATCTAAATTTAATATCTAAATTATTACTCATTAGTTTGTTGAGAGGGAGAGAAGGGAGGGAGTGAGTGAGCAAGAGAAGCAACTAAAAATGGCGAGAGAGAGGGGAGAGGGAGACACGCAGGAGAGGGAGAAAGAGGAGAGAGGAGAGAAACCAGCAAAATTGGCCTAAGAGATGCTAGAAAAAGCTAACTATAGCTACGTAGAATATACTTTTTAAAGTATAACTATAATTATTGTACATATATAGTAAATATTTGCTACACCATGTAAAATTTCCTATTATTAAAGTACATATACAGTACATATTGGCTAACCCTTTTTCCCCACTATTTAAGTAATATAAAAAATATTTAATGCTACAAATTATTATATAATGATGTCAATGAAGTTAACTTATAAATAAAAACATCATATAAAGTTAAATAATTAAAAATCTTGATATGATAAATTATTAGGAAAAAAATGCATGTATTAGTTTTGACTTTTGAGTATTAGTAGTATTTTGTTTGGTACACTTATCAACCTATGTATAACTAATGCTTGCATTAGTTATGTACTCTATTGTGTACTCCTTTCATCTATCTTTACTTATCCACTATACTATTTTGGGATGTCTAACAATACTTATTCGGTATATAATTAATGAATAATTTATCATTTTGTGTCTATTTTACCCTTGCTATTATATACTCCCTCTGTCCCAATTTATGTGACTTACTTTCCTTTTTAGTCAGTCTAAAAAAGAATGACACATTTTTATATTAAGTAGCAATTTAACTATAAAATGTCTATTTTACCCTTAATGAAATGATTTACAGCCACACAAATTTCTATCATTCATTTTGGACCACAAATTTTAAAAGTCTTCCTTTCTTTCTTAAACTCTGTGTCGAGTCAAACTACCTCACATAAAATGGGACAGAGGGAGTACTACTCTTTCCGTTCCATAATAGTTGATCACTTTTAATTTTGCACACTGCTTAAGAAATTATAAGTAAGAAGATAATTTTACTAATTCACCCCTGAAAAAACTTCTTGGGAATTTTACAAACAAATGTGAACACTTTTAAAAAAAATTAATTGTAAGGGTAATATAGGAAAAAATTAATTCATGCTTTCTTGATTTAGTAAGGTGATCAACTATTATGAGACAACTATTTTTAGTATAATGATCAACTAATATGAGACCCGGGGAATATTAATTTTTCAATGTATGGATGACTTATATTTAATAAGGGTGATTTGGTAAAATCATCTCTATCATTTACTACTACTTAATTCATGTGTCAAGTCAATACTGGATAACTACGTATTAAAGTGTGTAATATAATGAATTTCTAGGTATTAGTAATGCAAGAAGATTTAATGTATGAATTAGTATTGATTAAAGACCCAATTATTCTTCAAGACCCATTTTACATCTTTTATACCATAATTGTGAAATATACTTTATAAATAAATATTTTAATGTAATACATGTTATTTTTAATACACTAAACTAAATAATGCATAGTAAATAATTTAGGGTACATTGACTCATACTACTTGTTGTACTGTGATTAAAAATGTTATTTTCACCAACTCAATTGTCCTTTTACTCCACCATATTGGAATTATGCAACATGATTGTTGATTGAAAAAATCTATACTACTAACATGGATTGTAGTGCACTGGTGGGAGTGCTTACCCTTAATCAGAGGTCTCGAGTTCGAGCCCTGGTTATGGAGAAAATTCTGTTGGGAGTGCTACCCCCGAATAGGCCCTGCAGTGCGCGATCCGAATTTAATCGGAGCTCCAATGTGGGCTTCGGACACCGGGTGGAAAACCAAAAAAAGAAGAAAAAATCCATACTAAACTGATTAGTTATCTATCAAGTTTGTATTTTTTTTTATGTTAATAGAAAACTAAAATTTGGAGATTCAAATTCAAGAATCATTCATGCATTCTAAGGCAGTAGTTACTAGATTAATACAAATATAACTAAATCTAAATATTACTAATACAATCACAATTAATAGACTCTATCTAACATGAATTTTATACACTCTATCAAAGGACCGCTAAAGTATAACAAAGTTGTTAACTAGCTATAAAAAGAGAAGTAAAGATTGAAGCAAGAGGTGTATGCCATGTTGGATTAAAATAGAATAATAAGTAGGGACCACCTTTGGGTTCACAACTTGGCCGGTGGGCACTGTTAGCTGAAATAACAAATTAAAGGCAAACATTTAGGTTGACTCACTTCAGATTAGTGTTATTGTTTTTTTCTAGAATAAGACAGAATGACAGCAACAATCAACAATATGTTGACCGTAAACAATCTTGTTGAATATACTCTATGCAATTATGAGGTATTTAATTTTGGTATAAACTACGTTCTGGTAATTGGTTAACATGTTAGTTTTTTATTCCTCTTGTTCAAATACATTTTCTTAACATTCTAGGGTGTCTTTGCTATGGAAGGAAAATGTTTACCATGCAAAAATATTTTTTTAGAAAATAAGTTGGTTTTTGGCTTATTTTTTCATGTTTGGTTAGTGAGTGAAATATTTTTCGATGTATGATTGGTGAACGAAAAATATTTTTTTAGAAAATAACTTTTATTTTTGATTAGAGAGTGAGAAATACTTTTTAGGAAAATAGTTTCTGACTTGAAAATCAACCCCGATAATCGATCTGGCACCTCACCCCGACACCCGATCAGAACCTAATCCCTACTCCCGACGCGGTACCCGACATTTGAACTAGAACCCGACCCTCACCATGACCCGAATTAGGACACGATTCCAAGATCCGACCCTGGACCTAACCTCGCTAGA